CTCACCTTGTCACTTAGTGGTACATTGGCTGCAACAACCGATTCACTTGATCATATACTTTGCTGTTACACACTCAGGGACATGTAGTGGTGCAATTGTGGAAAGTTTGTTTTGATTGTCTTTAGAAGCTGGAGCCCTTTCTTGGAACAATGGGATTCACTCACTCTTCCAATGAATAATGGAAACTTTCTGAAGTTTTTCAGGTATTTGATTTCATCAGATGCTTTTAATGTTGGGCTGTCAAGTCAATGTTACTAGTTACTACTGTGCAGTCACCATTGAAGATGATGTAGTGATCATAGCTTTCAGGTCAGTAAGTTTGTTGGGTTTTGCAATATAACGTGCAGCTATTTCATGTTAGATTGTGACAAGATTGAATGATTTTGTAGATCTTCCCATTCTCATTTTCTATTATATTAGTGTCTGATTAAGTAAATTTAATCTCATCTTGTAGACTTTCAGAAGATAGAAAGTCCTCGGTGGAAGCCATTTTGCCAAAAGTCAAAAGAAAAACCTCAATGATAGACTTATTAAGATAATTCTGTGATGGTGACTATAAAAGATAGAAGTGGAGCTTTTAAGAATCTTAACAGTTTTCACAATCATTGATCTCTCAAGCCGTAGATTCCATGGACAGATTCCTGAAGAGCTGGTTGGACTCAGTTCACTTCTAGTACTTAACTTCCCTTGCAACAGTATCACAGGTTAAATTCCATCATCTTTGGAGAAATGGGCAGAACTTGAATCAGTAGATCTCTCGTTTAACAAGCTTGATGGCAGGATTCCTGAGCAGTTGACAAGTCTGACATTCTTTTTGGTTTTGAACTTTTCACACAAGGAACTTTTGATTCACACTCTACAAGGGAAGTAGTTCGATACTTTTTCTAAAGATTGCTACATTGGAAACTTAGGATTGTGTGGAATTCCATTGACAATGAAATGCAAGGTGACAAAGAACCAGAATCACCTTCTTCCAATTTGATGAAGAATGTTGGAGTTGTGGTGTTCAAGCTGCCAAGTAGCAGCTAGTGAAAATGAAAGGCTGCACAAAATGGCAGCAAATGAAGAAGGGAGAGCTGCACCAAAGCACGGTAGCAGCAAAGTGCAGCAAGCTATGCTGCAAATGTTGATGAAATGAGGCTGAAATGAAATGGAAATATAAATGCAGCTAAAATGAAAGGCTGCAGAGTGGCTGCAGAGCTGCCAAAGTACGCAAGGCTGCAGCAAAATTAGCTGTTACTCATTTCAAATTTTAAATGTATTTTTATTGTTTTTTAATGTAGAAAATTGTTTAAAGATTGTATTCTCCTATAAATAGGAGAGATTGTTAATGAGAAAAGTTGAGTTGAAGTCATATACTTCTCTCCATTTCAGCTTGTGCTCTGTTTTTCATCTTCCTCTCGGTTCTCTCCATTTCTTTGTTTTAAAAAACCAACAAAGAAGAAGATGAATCTGCAGCATTATTTGATTGGAAATTTGCATTGATGGGTTCTGGTTGTGGACTGCTGTTGGGACTATGTCTTGGATACATTGTGTTCACAACAGGAAAACCATTGTGGCCAGTGTAAAAGGTAGAGGTATGTCAACAGAAGTTTGTGGGATGGTACAACCGCAGAAATAAAGAGAAAAAACCAGCAACCTGGCCGATGCTCTTAGGTGAGGTTCTGCAGCCAAACTATCTATTTATGATCTTTTTTAATCACGAAAATGTATATAAATAATTAAAAATTTTCACTCCTATTCTCTGCTCCACAGCGATGCTCGAAATAAGCTACAGGCAGCTGCACTTCTTTTCTTCCACTTATAAGATCTACCCAAAAAAAAATAAAAAATTGCAAGCATGAGCAAACAGAGCATTGTTTGTTGTTCGTGAGTCCGTTCTGCATTGTTTCATGAGTTTCTTTCCTGAAATCCTATGGTTGTTTTTTCTTTTCCCTACTTTTTCTTGTTCAATGTTGAAAGAGCAGCATCCTGAATGGGGATCATTGTTGTGTTATATTAATATGAATTTAAGACTATTGGTTTCTTTTAATAAATGAAGTCTATTTATGCATCTTCTTAGTGGTTCTGGTTTCCTTAGATTAGACTACGCTGCTACAAATAATCTAGACAATGTCTGGCCTTTTACTGCCATCTACACAAAAGGGATCCATCCCCTACTCTGGATTCCCATTTCCGGGATAGGCTCCTTCAATCTCCCTTCTTATGAGTTATGATGTTGAATTCATTCCATTCACTACAAGGGAAAACTCTAAGAACAGCGATTTCTTACCAGCATTTTTATAAAACGCCGGTATTGGTCGGACAAGTTTCCTGCAAACTTTGGCGTTTTATATAAACGCTGCGTTTAATCCATTAACGACAGCGTTTTTCTTAAAAATGTTGGCCCTTTGTTTTCCATTTCTAGCGTTTTAATTAAAACGCTGTTGATGGTGTTGAGGAAACGCTGTTGATGGTGTTGAGGACAAATATTTATCATAACATACAACAATCCCAGCAGATTTCATCCCTCTGCAAAATCTTCCTTCGTCCCTCGAATTTTACTTCTCCGTCTTCAAATCAGATCCTCCGTTCACTCAAAATTTCTCCGGTTAGTTCGATTTTGGTTTCTCGATCGAATTTTGAAGCAAAAGCTTGAATCGATCCATGTGCTTCTGCTTTCAATCGATCCTTCCCAGTAAGTTTCTCGCATTTTTTGTTATCCATTTTAGGGATTTTAGCTTCTTAGTTCTTAGGTTTCCTGATCCTTCTCCGTGGCCGATTCAATTCATTTGATCCTCTTCATTATTTTTGGAGACTTCGTGCTGCTTTCTTTGTTA